CATGCCTGCGCGCCAGGATTGGGAGGTGCGGCCGTACAACCCTGTGTGCTGCAACGTACAAATAGTGGGCCAATCATTAGCCTCTGTTTGTTTACCCTAATCCGCCATCCTGATCACGATTAAGCTCCCTGCGTGTACACTTTGCGCACAAGATACTGAGTAAATGTGTTCCGAGCTGTACTTCTGTTTCCTTCATAGCTTAGCTAGTTTTGGGAGTTTAGCCAGATGTTGGAGGGTCTGCCACAGAGATTTCTGAGTCAGTCAGGCTTTACTAGAGTAGAAATCCGCTACAAAGCATTTGAGCACTCATTTGTACGCATTTTGCTTATTCACCTCTATCTACATGTTAAAAATTACATTTATGACTTAATAATTCACGTATTGCGCCTTCATTAAAAATGAAGGAAATTGTTCTCAGAATGGTCGATAAGTGGACTCAGTATGAACTTATCTATCAGGGCATCGAAAACGATGTTAATGAAATAGTCAAGAACGAATTTCTCAGCAGAGGTAAAGCCATTGTCTCTGAGTACTACTTATTAATAATATAAGTACTATTTTGTTATTTCTATTTCATTAAAGGATCTCTTCAAGAAAGTAATGAAGGTAACTCTATCCCCACAAATCTTTGTGCATTCAGGAAGAACTCAAGCAGTTCAATTGTTATTAATGAAGAATTCATGGGTAGCTGTCTTTTGGAGTATTCAAGCGCTTATCTGAATTTGTTTCTTCTTGAACAACAAGAACAACAATTAGGTATAGTTGCAGGACATTTTGCCTCCACACAGACAATCGAGGATCAAAAGATGACAAAGAAAATAGTCTTTATAGGCTGGGTAGCCTTTCTAGAGATTTATATCCACATTGCTCAAATTAAAGATCGTTTGCCGGCAGAACTTGTTGAGAATGTAACTACAGATGGAATAACAACTATTCAGACTTACGCTCAAGTGTTGCACGATTCAATACGTCCCAATAAATATGGTAATTCAATTAATTCCAAACTAAATGCGAAAAAGTACCACATTTATCAAGACATTTACAAACAGTGGAAAAGATTCTTCTTTAAATTCTATTCAAATTCATCAACCTGTGAAAATGCACGAACTTTAAATCAGCTCTTTGCAGATTAGCTTTCAACTAAATTTCTGTTCCTCTTAAAACGATATTTCCATACTCATAGTACGTAAATATCTTCCATTTATCAATATTTATCCCCCACTCCCTTAACTCAGAATGTAGTATTTTTTTGATCTAATTTCCACCTGAATATATTTACTTATCCATATCATTTCGCATTTCTACTCATAGTATGGTGACGTGGGAAACTATACAAGTGTGTTCTCTATTAAGATATTCCTAGTAGAGACGGCGAAATTGATCATTATTAAAGCAGATCATATGTTAGTATATATGAAAGAGTGTAGAGCTTATAAGTTATATAAAAGCCATGCTGACCAAGATGAATAAGAACTTCAAGTGGTGAAAAAATGACTATCTACTCATCGCCCCCCCCCCCACAACCTCACTATGAACGATAATTAATTCATATGATCTAATTAATGCCCACGTTGAGCTTTCAACTCGATCTTCCATTTGGTAAAGTTTACGTGCTTGTGATTCAGGAGAGTGGAGAGGCAACTTTTGCTAGACGTGGGGCTTATACAATCTTTCAACCAACTTCAGCTTACTAGTAGACAAAATTAGGTCCATCACCGAATTTAAGCAGGCTTTTCATAATCCTTGACACCAGAGTCATGCCAAATTAAACCGCAATTAGAAAGATTGATGGCTGGACATGGCATTTTCGATATTCGTGATATTGAATTTCTGAAGCAGATTGAGTGGGTGGGGGTGGGGGGGGGGTCATCAAAAATACATCGTGAAAATTGGGAACTTCCGTCTCTTGTTGAAAAATGTGTATTTACTCATTGATAGATGCCCGGTTCGAATAGGGTATCCTTTTTTCTAAATTAGGGCGAGTATATCATTCCTGCAGCGGGACATAATAGATCCGCTTTTGAAGGAGAAATAGACAGTGGGACACAATAGATCCGCTTTCGAAGGAGAAATAGAAGCCACGCTTTTGAAGGAGAAATAGAGGAAGCGGGACACAATAGATCCGCTTTTGAAGGAGAAAGAGAGACCATCAGGAGAGCACGGACATAATAGATCCGCTTTTGAAGGAGAAATAGAGGCCAGTCATTGGTGCAGGTGTCTTTTCTGAATTCTTCTCTTTCTACGCAGCAGCAGATCTACTCTGAACTCTTCTCTTTCTACGCAGCAGCGGGGCCTAAGAATCGCTGCTCTTTCTACGCAGCAGCGGGACATAATAGATCCGCTTTGGACAGCGGGACATAATAGATCCGCTTTTGAAGGAGAAATAGACAGTGGGACACAATAGATCCGCTTTCGAAGGAGAAATAGAAGCCACGCTTTTGAAGGAGAAATAGAGGAAGCGGGACACAATAGATCCGCTTTTGAAGGAGAAAGAGAGACCATCAGGAGAGCACGGACATAATAGATCCGCTTTTGAAGGAGAAATAGAGGCCAGCAGGAGAGCACATCTTCTTCTCTTTCTACGCAGCAGCGGGACATAATAGGTCCGCGCTCTTTCTACGCAGCAGCGGGACATAATAGATCCGCTTTGGAAGGAGAAATAGAGGCCATTAGGATAGCACTATGCCAATAATGTTGCCTGGATACGAAATTCACCAAAGCGGTGATACTTCTGGACTAGTCAGCAAAAGCGGTATATAATTATGATGCCTCGATACGAAATTCACCAAAGCAGTATTTTAGCAATAGACTCTATTGGAAACAGAGAGACACCCAAAAGCTAAATTCACCAAAGCGGTGATACTTTGGGACTCACAGTCAGGTAAACTCAATTATACTTTCGAACTCACAGTCAGCAATAAACTCAATTGGAAGTAGATTTCGAACTTACAGTCAGCAATAGACTCTATTGGAAGCAGAGATACTCACAGGCAACAATAAACTCAATTGGAAACAGAGAGCGTGATACTTTCGGACTCACAGTCAGCAATAAACTAATGTGGAAACAGAGATCCAAAACAGCTGAGATAAAGGAATGTGGAAAACTCTATGAATGCTGAGAGAAAAAAAACAAAACAGTGGTCCTGCAATGGATTCCTGGTCACTGTGGGCTTAAAGGCAATGAGATTGCTGACACACTTGCTAAGAAGGGGACAACAATTTTGCAATGCATGGACCGGCCCATGTCTTTCCACACAATGAAGGCCTTAATCAGGAGAGAATTCCAGACCTCAAGGTACAACGAACTCAAAGCTCGAACAAAGGAGAAACAGTGGACAGTGGCACTCTCCGACATACCCGACTGGCCAAGAATCGAAGCCGTTGCTGAGTTTAGACTACGTACCGGACACGATTGCTTGGCAAAACACCTTCACAGATCGGGAGTACTACACTCAACCCACATGCCCTCTATGTAACCTACAGGAGGAAATGGAGAAGACCCACCTGATTCGGTGTCCAGCTCTAAAGACAAGGACGGAAAGCCAAAGATACTGGGAAGCAAGAAGACTGCTAATGAACTGCTATTAATTAACTGCTATAAATGTACCCCCCCCCCCTCTTGGGGGAAGCTGAAGTCAAAGATTAAGGGCTAATGATAAATATCATAAAGCCTGCCATTTGAAATAAATAAATAAATATCATTCCTATTAGGATGTTAGTTATTTCGAAAAAAATGTTATTAAAAAGGCATCGCTTTGAAAAGGCGAATAAGCCTTGTATTTACGTAAATATTGTCTTTGTATAGCTGACAAAGTATTGATGGAGCAACTATCACATCTCTTTGTGTCTGAGTCATCTTTAACACAGTGATATTTAGTGGTTGGATGAATCACAACGGTAGAGCACAAATATCTTGACACTTTAGAAAAGTCCTCTTTTACGAACTCTCCATTATTTGCCTATCATTTACCTGTACATATGACAATTTTTGTAACTAAATATGCACAAACTGGTTCCAATTATGTGACCTAAGCAATGAAAGAATGGCATGTTCACCACTATCTTGGTGTGCTTTTAACATGGAAATCAAATTAGTGGTTTAAGAATCCGTAGTACTCTATGATGGATAAGAATGAAATTGATCTCTTAAATGTGGAAGCAAGTTACGATCACATTCGGTGGATAATCCACCCGGCATAGAATCCCTTTCGAAGAGGCTTACCACAGTGGCAAAGAAGAAGGGTCTTGAGTTTCTTGCAGTTGTTAATGATGAGTGGAAAGGCAGCCCCTCTAACATTGAGACAGTAATTAAGGGCGATGCATTCCAGCTGAAGGCAATTGGTCGCCAGAAGTTCGACGTGGCTGTCATCCACAAAACTAATGCCATAGAGGTTAATCACCCGTAAATTTGGAGTATGGGCACGAATTTTACTGATGTTGACCACCTAGAAAGGAATTAGTATTTCTAATGTTTGCCTTAAAAAATAATTTTGAAATTAGCGAAATTTCGCTTATCAAGTTAGTTTTAAAGGAAATTTTTGTCCAATAAAGCGCAAGGGTGCTTGCTAAGGACATATTTGCAATTTAAAAATGAGGTATATTTTTTAATTAATGAATTCAAGATTAAATATTTTATTTATGCCAAATTTCTTCAGATTACTAAATACTGTTTCTATACAAAATTGGTTTTGATTATGTGCAATGTTTCAGCATGTTAACTCTCATTTAGCAGGTAGATACAATAACAAGTAATTAATCAATTAATCAAATTTTTATAATGGTAACCCTACTGAATACAATTTAAGAAAATAGCGTAACTGTTGAAAATTAATTTTTTCTAATCAGTGCTTAGGGTTAAATAAAGCCTAAGCACGAACAGATCCCTTAGCGCCATTTTAGGAGTGTACTTTTGGTCCTAATTAAAAGTCACCTAATCTAGAGCCAATCGAAAAGGCAGTATTGGATGAACTGACCTCGAAAATTTCTTCCTCTTCTTCCGCCGCTCGTTCGAATGTACCTTAAAAGCGAAAGAAAAAAAGCAAGTTTTATACTGATCTTGGTTGTACTATTTAGATCATAAGTGTGGAAATAAACTTAGATTTAATTAAATCCCCCCCTCCCCCACCTTATTGAAATTATTCTTACTAGCTTTCACTAGAAAGATAACCAAAGAATACTTAGAATTTAACTAATTAGTCGAGAATCGATATCAAGATTTTGAAACAGTATTAAATTTCATATAATCCACTTAAAAGGTGATTGAATAAATACCAATGAGATGGAGCACTTCGAGGGATGAGAGACAGGGATAAATTTTCCTCATAAGTCCTTCCATGAAGATGACATCACTGAGACAGATGCAGAGGTAGGTGAGAAGACCCGGAAAAGCCATCAGGTCATTGAAATCATGCAGCTGCATTGCATTGCTGAAATCCAGTGTGAGATAGCGCAGATTGGTGCATTTGTTTCCTAATTCCTCCAGAACTGGAATAGTAATTAAGTCACTGTTGAGCTCCAAGTAGCGCAAGCCCTCTCCGGAACGTTGATTAACGAGATTAAGAAAGTCTTCTACTGTTGGAACCTGAAATATTTGAGAAATAATGTGCGTGATGCAAAAGCTTTCACTGGATTTTTAATTTTTTAAAGCATAAATGATCGGTCCGGAATTGAATATTGATTGCATATACCTACGTTTTAAGTTAAAATAGGTTCCACGTAGACGAACATATGAGCAAAGATTTAGAAGATTTTGAAGTGTTAACTTCTTTTATTTACATTTTCCATTTTAGCCACTATTTGGTCTATTTTCCATCTCTCTACCTTAAACTCTTCTAAATGAGCATTTAATTTTGTGAGTTGTAATAATTTGTTATTAAAAATCTCGAGGAAAATGTGTGGGAAATTACTTTCAGATCCAATTGGCATTTTAAAAATGAAATAGAATTGCTTTTGTCAGCAAGCAATTGGCTCTTAGTGTCCATTTATAAAAGCCGCTGATTTTCACTTCCACGCAGAGATTACGTGTTGCTACTGGTAACGAGCGTGCGCATCGACAACAGTATCGATCGATGGCAGTAACAGCTGCACCAACACAGATGCAGTTGGGTGCTGACGGTAATGCGCAGTCATGAATTGCAGTTGTTAGAAGCCAAATTACAACCATACAATTCATACTTTAGTAAGAGTGATAATGTAGAATAAAATTTTTTAAATGCAAGATTAAATAATACCCGCTTTTTTGATATTTCAAAATTGAATCACACATAAAAGTGCTTAATAATTTAATTTCCTTGTCCCTTCAACTTGACATGATTCTGAATGCTTTGAAGAATTTAAGATTTTAATATTCAAATTACACCTTTATTCAAGCATTCATTATCGCATAAACAAACTAATTTTACTACCATTTCACAAGTAAAGTCTGTCTTAAATAACAAACGTTTTAGGAGGAATGATATCCAATAGTAAGCACGTGTAGGGCCTCTCCAATTCAGCGGTCGATCATCCAACAGATTCAGACCAAGAGAGGATCTGATAGTCTTAATTCACTTACATTCCTCTAAAGCGAATATTTCAACTGAATAACATTTATTCGGCGTTTGTGGGTGACTATTTTCAGGGCATATTTATTAAAGTTGACTTTCGGCGCCATTAGTGAATTCTGGTTAGTTAGAAGGTTAGTGCAATTGACGCTTAGAATGCAAAATAGCATTCTGGTTCCTTCAAAAATGTAAGAACATCTTTAGTCTACCTTCTACCCAAACTGTAATTATACTGATTTGCAGTAATATAGGCACTGTTTCCTACCGAAAGTCCGCCATGTTCTGGTCGAAGGTTTAGCCACGACCACTGCGATTCATCGTAGGCTAGTCGTCGCCATTGTTTTGATACTCTTGCAATGGTACAGAGTTCTCGATGCGTTAGAAAGCTGAAGATTCTCAACAGCAGTTTCTCCGGCAGTTTTGTAATCTTCAAATTGCTAGACTAAAATTTTGAAAAAAAATTACAAAGTGCCTAGTTTCTGGTAATACAATAAATTGAGATGATTAAGACTCGAGTAACAAATTTTAGGCGTACTTATGTTTTTTTGTCGATAAGAACTTCTGTTTGTATTAAATTATTCTACAAAATTATGGTGAGTTACGAGGTAATTAGTCTTGCTTTGCACGATGTTTTGAAAAGCATTAAAAATAATTATTTTAAATATGAGTATAATCCTTTGCATTAGTTACAACTATAATTTCATCATCTTTCGTTGTTTCCAAACTGCATAAGTTGATTCAAATACAAATCGATATATGTTAAATCAATAAGAACTTATATAATATTAATACTCTTTTTTCATAGTTTGATAGACATTTTTGTACAATATGGCTTCCCCTATTCTTGACTTTTGATTTCAAAATACGAGAATGTACTTTCAAAACTCCAAAATCAATAATTTTTTCCCAGTACGGGCGTGCGTGCATACGATTACGTGTCCCACAAGGGGGCTATTTTGCTAGACATTATTGATAAATAAGCGTAATGAAAGTTTTTTATTTATTTCAAATGGCAGGCTTTATGATATTTATCATTAGCCCTTAATCTTTGACTTCAGCTTCCCCCAAGAGGGGGGGGGGTACATTTATAGCAGTAAATTAATAGCAATTCATTAGCTGTCTTCTTGCTTCCCAGTATCTTTAGCTTTCCGTACTTGTCTTTAGGGCTGGACACCGAATCAGGTGGGTCTTCTCCATTTCCTCCTGTAGGTTACTTAGAGGACATGTGGGTTGAGTGTATAATCCCAATCTGTGAAGGTGTTTTGCCAAGCAATCGTGTCCGGTACGTAGTCTAAACTCAGCAACGGCTTCGATTCTTGGCCAGTCGGGTATGTCGGAGATTGCCGATAGACTTACCTCCACGTGGTGCACCCTGGACAACGTATTTTCTTACGGCAGAAAAGTCTATCACTCGGCATTCGTTTTTGACTTCGATTTATTATGATTAGCGTAATGAAAGTAATCATGCGATGTAGAAAGCTGGAATGCGTGAAGTAATGGCATAAGATGGTTCGTAGTGGTTTTTCTTTTAAGTAAAATCTCTGCTACCTTCGAAACGTTTGGTCGCTTTTAAAATCCATTCAAAATTGTTGAAATATATATAAGAAATTAAATGTGAATAATAATGTATAATTTCATATTTCATAATATTTCAATTATCATATATTTGCTAATTGGTGGCAGTTCAATTTTTTTTAATAAGATTCCAAGTTCCAAAAATTCTTTTATTTTATTCTTTTTTTAGATGGAAGAGGTAAATTGATTAATAAAAAAAAGGAATTTCTCAATTAAGGGTATTTGAAATTGTTAAAGGATAAATATTCATGTTTCGTAACTTTTCTTCACTCAATCAATAATTAATAAAATCGATAAGAAGCACCAAAAGACACAGGCATACCGTAGGCGCAGCTAGATTTTCATGACCACCGGAGGACGAAATGGTTCTCTGTAAATTCTGAGCAATATCCAAGAAGGAGTTCTTACCGCCACCGAACATTTTTGGGGATCTTTTATTTAAATGTTTCCCCTATCTTATTCCCTGCTCCTGAACCAGTAACAGCTGCTGCTTCTGCGCTACTTGCCTCCCCCCTCAATATCTTCGACCTTCAAGAGCGTCCAATAAGACTAGGCAAGACAAAGCGTGCACGAATGGCCACAACAGTACCTCAATCACCTCTTCGTTCCGCCCGGGTTATTTATTTCTCCACTTTAAAAACCAATACACACCTACTAATGACGTATCTGTTAGTCAGCAGCATCATCTATGGAAATTTATTTGATATAGATAGGTACTATCATATTGAGCATATGTTTCTTTAAATTTATAACATGAGAAATTAGACTGTGCTTATCCTACTGAACCAAAGCTAGGAATTTCTTGATGATATAATTTTTTTGTCTAAAAGAGAGATGTGGTAAAAATGATTGTCTCCGTGTTTTAATGCATTCATTTTCCCAGTTTGTATAAACTTTTTGTTAAAATAAAACCGTCTACAAAAAAATATTTTTTTAATTATTATGGAACATAATAATAAATAGAAACTATTTGAAACTTAAAAATACACTAATACCACTCTTCTTCCAAACGCGAATCAAAATTGAACACTTGGTATTATGTACAGATAAATTCCACATTCGGCAGCTACTCTGGCTAATAAACAATAATAAACAAGCCTTTTACCTTATAATTTCTTATAAGCTTAGTTTATCAAGGTGATTAAATGACGTTTGACACAATGAATGTCAAAAATTTCAATAGCTTGATAAATTTGAAAGTGACTAACCAGCTTGTAATTTTTCAATTCGAAGGCAAAACGTTTTTAATTGCCTTCTTATCGATTTTTTGTGCTCCATCTTTCGCTTACAAACAAATTTATAATTCTTTTAAGAAATATGTGAATACTGCTATGTCGAATTATACGAAGATCCGACCTTAGGAATTAATATCTGTTGCCCTCATCAAGAGGCCTTTACAGCTAAGTTATAACTGAAACCGTTACCTCTAAAGTATCCAGTCATATTTCCTTCAGAGGCAAATGAGGCTTATCGTAACTTTGACCCCACAGAAATAGTTCACTTTTGAAGCATCCAATCTGCTTTCCTTAACCACATTGTTGAAAATCTCTCTGTCTCTCCCTCTTTATCGAAATCGGACTTTGTTGACAAGATTTAACAGCTCTCCTAAATTTTCTCGTAGGCAGAAATTACACTCCTGAATTTTGCATTATATATCGTTTTTGTTTTCAAGCAGTAACATCAATATGTTTAAAAATGCTTTACCAGACGTCCAAAATTGTTATCAAAGGCACAAATGTGTCATCATCTGCGTTCAAAGAGTTTATGAATGCCAATTTGAAATGGAAAAGCGGCGACTTTCAGCGATGCAGAATTTTGAAATACGTGAGAATTAAAATTGAATTAAATAGTGGTAAAGTGGACAGAGTTGTCTTAAAGGAAGCCAAGCTATAAATTACAACTTATAGGAGCTTAAACCTACAGCTGTAATTTTGGCAAAAAATGATACATTTGGACCACGTGATCTCGTTTAATAACAAGCAAATTAGAACTGGTTTTTAAGTCTGTGACAAACAAGATATGAACGCGTTCATACATTCATTAATGAGAATCAAAAAATTAGACATCATTAATGCTGAAAACTAATCTCTAAGCAGAAGGAAGCAACTAACAAGGATGTTCATAATACTGCGGGAGCATAAGATAAATCAATACTTATAAAGAATAAAAGACTCACATTTGACATTATTTGGATTGATTTTACAAACTTATTTGTGCATAATTTGGCCTTTAAGGTAATAGGTTAAAATCCCGAAGGCACCTATGGTTCCTATTGATTTGTTTCGGACTGTTGCATGAATAACACTGGCCTTATTCACAGCAATCTCCATGACAAAATCCCCTTATAATGGACTGGCTCCCGACGTGGAATACGTTTAGTTGAGTTGTTTGCGCCCGTGTGTGTGTGTGTGTGACTATTGATTATGGATTAGCTGGATTGTCTCTACCCTCGTAACTATATTTACTCCGTAACACGAGCAACATCACGGCCATGCGTTTCGCAGTGTTCGAAGGAGAATTAAACTGCTAAGCATAACCACTTTAGGAATGTGTACTCCACAAATTATTAGATTAAAGCTATGCATCTCCAAGTCATTACTGGCTATTATGTGAATTATACTGAATTTATGTTAGGGATAAATTATTATTTATTGACATTCCACGAAAATCGCGTACTTAAAAATGTACCATTTACCCTATTATCAACAGAAAAACAAATGAGAATATTGCATAAGTCTCTAATATATATTCACTGCAGTAACAAAAATGTCAAAACCTTTTTTTATTTAGGGAATATAAAATTTTAAAAAATATGCAAAAATTTTATTATTTTAAAGTAAATATGGATTCAAATTTAACTTTAAATATTTGATTAAATAAAAAGGCTGCAATGTACCTTAAATAAGTTAAATGTTTTAGAATTCCTGTGAAATATTTCATTGGAGACAAATAATATACAGTGGTACGCAACAAATGTGGAGCATGTTGTGTCGAGTGCGGCTGTTTTTATAATGTTTAAAATCTACGTGTGAAATCAGCATTTAGCTGCAATGGTAAAAGGAAAATTAAATGAAAAAAATAAAATGCTAACCTTGTTTAAATTTTATGTATTTAAACATACAGCATGTAAAAATACGTAAATGCATAAGGCCTCCACTAATTGCCTTTTTAAAAAGCCAAAGTATTAATAAAGTTCTATTTTGTGCAACCATTTTCGATTATTTATCTGCTGTGCTATTCAGCGAATGTATCCCCGAAAATGGAGCCTGATTCCTTCGTTCAAAAGTGATCGCTTAAAATTTACGACCAAGGACTTGCCTAATTAACGGCCACAGGGAATGAGATAAATAAAATAATTCATATTCTTGAAGTTGACAGTCCATGAGGAAATTGCCAGGGCATTGAAGTAGTTAGTGGAAAGAAAGGGAATGAAAAATGGCCAAGCATTTTCAAAATTTCGAATTTTTAAATTTGAATTGAATTCAGATGTATAAGTATCAAATGGTGCAAAAAGT